TAGGTGCTATTTGGATCATGGGGACAAATCCCTTATGGCTTGGTGCAGTCTTCGCGATAGTGAGTTCTTGTGAGATCTGGTCATTTAAAAGTGTGTGGCACCTCCCTCCACACTCTTTTTCATGCTTTCACCATGTGACATACCTGGTCTCCCTTTGCCGTCTGCCATGAGTGAAAGCTTCCTGAGGCCTCCCTAGATTTCAAGCAGATCCCACCACCAAAATTCCTATAAAGCCTGTGAGCCAATTAAACCTCTTTTCTTTGTAAATTACTCAGTCTCAGGTATTTCATTATAGCAATGCAAGAGTGGCCTAATACAATGTTGTTCGATAAAAAATGGCAAAGTACAAGTACAGAAACCTTCTGCTCCAACTACACAGACAATGCAGAAATCTACTGCGTATTTCCTCTGTTTTTCTATGTCTATTCTTATTTACAATAACCCAATGTGGAAAAGAGGGAATACTGAAAAAGTGTAGTTCTCCCAGAACATAAACATACTCCTAATTTCTAAATTCTGTCTATCATTTGACATTCTTGGAGACTGCACGTGGCTGCATATACCATGTGTCATCTCTAGCCCAACTTATTATAGTAGATATATCTTGAATAACCTCCTTTCCCCCAGTCAATCTTTATGCCATTATTTGGGTTCATTGCCTTCATTGTACTCATCACTATTGGAAACGATCATGTTTATTTATTTGATTCATTGGCTGCCAGAAAATAATTTTCATAAAACACAAATTTTGCTTACCTTATATCACTGTGTATCAAATGCCTTGGGTTATGCCAGGTAAAAAATGCATATTTGGCAATTATTTGTTCAGTGAATGGTATCCAGGGGTTTGGGTTTATGCATAATGGGTATAACTATCAGAGAATGAGTTATGAACTGGCAAGGTGCTCTAAAATTATTGTTAGTATAGTTGACTACACAAAGTAGATTTTCAAAATACAGAGCAATTGACTTAGAATTGCAAAGAGGAAAAACAATTACCAACTACATCTTGTATCCAAGCTCTTCATATCAAAAATAATTAGTTTCATCTTCACCCTTGTTTCTGTCTCCCAAAGATAAGTACTTGTTCCTTCCCAACTTAGAATTTGAACTGAATGACTCAGAGGAAACAAGAAATAATTACAAAAAATAACTTCAGGGTGATGTATATTGGAAAATCAGAAATAACATTAAGGGTTTTTAAAAAACAGGAAATGCCCTATTTTCATTTTTTTTTTTTTTTTGCTTCAGACTCTCAAAATATTTACAAGTCTTTAAATATAGAGTAAAGCTTAGCTACCTTGACTCATGTAGCAGCACTTTCAATGTGGATGTTTTCCTTTTTTAAAATATATTTTCATTTACATTAAAAATTATAATGTAAACTTTAAAAAACTCGTTAAAATTTTCAAAATAGTTTATTATGAGATTATTAAAGAAACACTGAAAAAGCAAATGAAATCACCAAAACCACCACCAAAAAAAAAGAAGAATTACCTGCTATTAAACTTTAGGCATATTTACTAAGTCTTTCTCAAAATTTTACATAGAATCTTAATGTAATAGATGATTATTTTACCAATTTTATAATTTTTCTCATGTCTTTAAATTATTTTAGTAATAACTTCAAAGGCTATGTAATATTTTGTCACTTGAGGTTATCATAATTTACTGATTGTTGAACAATTACATTGTTTTTATGTTTTTATATATAAATAACACTGCAATAATTACATTTGATATAAATTTCCTCCATACTGCTATAATTTTCTGTATCAAAATGAAATATTAGGTTAATGAGTATATAAATATTTATATACTGATAAATATTTTTTCCTTAACAGTTCATTAATTGTACATTTTTTGTTGTTGTTGTTTTTTGAGAAGGAGTCTTGCTCTGTTGCCCAGGCTGGAGCGCAGTGTTGAGATCTTGGCTCACTGCAACCTCCACCTCCCTGGTTCAAGCAATTCCCCTGCCTCAGCTTCCCAAGTAACTGGCATTACAGACACATGCCACCATGCCTGGCTAGTTTTTTTGTATTTTTAGTAGAGATGGGGTTTCACCAAGTTGGCAAGACTGTTTTGAACTCCTGGCCTCAGGCAATCCACCTGCCTCAACCTTCAAAATTGCTGGGGTTACAGGCATGAGCTACCATGCCCAACCAATTTCTCATTTTTATATTGATACATAATGATTGTACATACTTATGGAGTACATGCATATGGTATATAATGATCAAAGCAGGGTAATTGAGATATCTATCACCTCAAATATTTACTATTTCTTTGTGCTGGGAAAAACTCAAACCTTGTCTTCTAGTTATTTGGAAAAATAATATAAATTCTTGTTAGTTATAGTTGCCCTATTGTATTATCAAAACACTGAAACTTATTCCTTCTAACTGTATTTTTGTACTCATTAACCAGTCTCTCCTTATCTCCACCTCTGCCTATCCTCTCAGCCTCTGGGTAACCATCGTACGGTTCTCTACCTCCAACATCCACTTTTTTAGCTCTCACATGAGTGAGGAAATATGATATTTGTCTTTCTGTGCCTGGCTTACTTGACATAATGTCATCCAGGTTTATCCACATTGCTGAAAATGACATGATTTCATTTTTTTAATGGCTGAATTTCATTGTGTGTGTACCACATTTTCTTTCATCCATTGACGGACCCCTCAGTTGATTCCATATTTTGGCTATTGTGAATAGTGCTGCAATAACCATTGGAGTGAAGATATCTCTTCAAATTATTAATTTTCTTTCTTTTAGGTATATATCCAGTGGTGGGATTGCTGGATCACATGGTAGTTCCTTTTGTAGGTTTTTGAGGAAACTCCATACTGTTTTCCATAGTGGCTGAGCTAATTTACATTCTCATAAACAATATATGAGCATTTCTTTTTCTCTGCACCCTTGCCAGTATCTATTTTTGCCTTTTAAAAGTTTTAATTTTTAATTATTATGTGTATATATTTAGGGGGTACATGTAATGATTTGATACAAGTATGCCGTATGTAATAATCACATCAGGGTAACTGGGGTACCCATCACATCAAGCATTTCTCATTTCTCTGTGTTATTTTCTGTCCTTTCTGTAATAGCTATTTTAACTGGGGTGAGATGATATCTCACTGTGGCTTTGATTTCCATTCCCTGATGATTAGTGGTGATGAGCAGTTTTTCATAAACCAGCAGTTATATGAGCAGTTTTCATATACTTCAATCAACAGGTATGTATAAAAAAAGTATTTCTTTTGAAAGAAGACATACAAATATTTATTCAGATTTTTTCTTTTAAAAATCAGATTACTTTTGTTTCACATTTGAGATATTACAGTTCCTTATATATTCTTGTTATTAATCCCTTGTTGAATCTGTAGTTTGCAACAATTTCCCATTTTTCTACCAGCAGTTTATGAGTAATTAATAACAATGTAATTAGTACATTATTTTTCTTAAAATGTTTCCCAAACTGTTATGTGAAAATGATATTTCATTGTTTTAAGTTGCAATGTTTACATGGATATTAAAGTTCAGTTTTTATATTTTTTTCACATATTTGTTAACATTTCTTTTCTGTGAGTGGTACACATAGTGCTCATTTTAAGTTGCATCTCAGAGATTCTTTGTATTGCATTTGTACATCTTTTTATTTAACAATAAAATATAGATACACAAGAGAACCTACATGAAATAAAGGTAGAATTTAATAAATTGTCATTAGGCAAAAACTCTTGTAACTATGACCCAGGTCAAGAAATAGAACTTTCTAGGTCTTGTCACTCAGAAGTCACTCCATGTCATCTATCTCAGTCACAAGCCCCTTATACCAAAAAGTGACCAATATCCTGTGCATGCCTGGAATCTAACTCTGCCATGCCTAACAGAAATTGGCTGCTCCCAGGCTAAAAGATAAATGATTATATCAAAGTTTGCACCATGCTGGGAGATGTTGGAGTATCAGCCCAGCTAGTATGGAGGGACCACACCAAGTGCCTGGGACATTCAGTTGGGATGACAAAAAGGCCCCTATGTGGAAGTCAGAATTATGCCCTGACCTAAGAGTCATGTGTTAAGATGAAATAAAAAAGCACCCTCTTACCCTAATGAAGGAAATATATCCAGCTTGATAAGACCCAGAATATGTGAAAATTTAACTGATCATCAGAAATAATGTAACTGCCCTTTAAAAGAGAATGCATAATTCATACTCACAGCAACGTATCATATACAAGGAACATTGTAAAATCAGGAATTACTAGATATACCAAAAAAGATAAACATAATGCATAAGAAAAACTGACAGACAATAAGACATACCCCTTAAATTTATACAAATAAAGAAACAAAAAGGAAAGGCACAAATATGATCCAAATATTGAAATGAGTGCTAAAGTAGATTAAAATATCTAAATATATTCTGATACCTAAAGGAAAATATGGTCATGCTGAAAAAAGATAAATATTCTTAGCAAATAAAAGCAATTCATAAAAAAGAAGGACTGAATGAAAATTTTAGAACTGGGAGTAAAATATCTGAAATAAAAATTTCACGGGAGGGGTTTAAATGAGATTTAACATAGCATATAAAAGGAATAGAAAATTTGAAGACGGATCAACAAAAAGCATCCAATCTAAAGAAGAGATAGGAAAAAAAAGGAACAGAGCATCAGCGACTATTTAATCAATATCAAGCTGTCTAACAGAATTATGTTTTCGGAAGAGGAAAAGATGCAGAAAGGTCCCTGTAGATAGCAACCAACAGCCAGTACAAACTTGCCCTCATCTATGTGAGTGAGCCATATGAATCCTCCAGTCCTAGTCAAGCCACCTCAGCAGACATGGTGTGAGTAGAGGTTGGCAGCCCTGCTTGAGTCCTGCCAAAATTTCAGATTCTTGAGCAAAACAAATGATAGTTGGTGTTCAAAGCCAAAGAAGGAGGAGGAGGAAGAGCAGACAATGGAACAAAAAAATAATAATTTTCAAAGAGCTTGCATTGTTTCTAGGAGAACCTGCGTCATACCTTTATCTAGAGCCTTCCCCTAGGTCTTCAGAAGCATCAAGTTTTAACTGTGGACATTGGATTTGGTGGAACAGCAATCATGACTGTGGGCAAGAGTAGCAAGATGCTGCAGCACATTGACTATAGAATGAGATGCATCCTACAAGATGGCCGAATCTTCATTGGCACCTTTAAGGCTTTTGACAAGCATATGAATTTGATCCTTTGTGATTGTGATGAGTTCAGAAAGATCAAGCCAAAGAATGCGAAGCAACCAGAGCGTGAAGAAAAGCGGGTTTTGGGTCTGGTGTTGCTACGTGGGGAGAACTTGGTATCCATGACTGTGGAAGGGTCACCCCCCAAAGATACTGGCATTGCTCGGGTACCACTTGCTGGAGCTGCAGGAGGCCCTGGGGTTGGTAGGGCAGCTGGTCGAGGAGTACCAGCTGGTGTGCCAATTCCCCAGGCCCCTGCTGGATTAGCAGGCCCTGTCCGAGGAGTTGGAGGCCCGTCCCAGCAGGTAATGACTCCACAGGGAAGAGGCACTGTAGCAGCTGCTGCTGTTGCTGCGACTGCCAGCATTGCAGGAGCCCCAACACAGTATCCACCAGGACGGGGGACTCCGCCCGCACCTGTCGGGAGAGCAACCCCACCTCCAGGCCTTATGGCTCCACCACCTGGTATGAGACCACCCATGGGCCCACCAATTGGGCTTCCCCCTGCTCGAGGGACGCCAATAGGTATGCCCCCTCCGGGAATGAGACCCCCTCCATCAGGCATTAGAGGTCCACCTCCCCCAGGAATGCGTCCACCAAGACCCTAGCATACTGTTGATCCATCTCAGTCTCTCTCTCCCCTGCAATGCGTCTTCTGAAATTGTGTAGAGTGTTTGTGAGCTTTTTGTCCCCTTGTTCTGCATTAATAATAGCTAATAATAAATGCATAGAGCAATAAAAAAATAATAATTTTAAAGAAATAATGGCCAAAAAAATTTCAAAATTTTTTAAATAACATAAATAGAAGCAATCAGCTAACCTTAGGCAGAATAAGTACAAAGAAAACAATGTCTAGCTATCATAGTCAAACTGTTGAAAATCAGACTTAAAGAGAACACTTTGACAGAGGCTAGTGTCGTGTATATGATTAAAATGATCACTGACTTCTAACTAGAAACAACAGAGAGCAGAAGACAATGAGCCAGCATTTTAAAATAAGAAAAAAAAAAGTCAACCCAGAATTCTATGTCCAGGGAAAGTAGCCTTCATAAAGTAAAAATGAAATGAAGATATCTTCATGTAAATTAAAACTCAAAATTTCTAGCAGAACTGTGCTAACTCAACATGTAAAATAAAACTGGTTATCCTGAAGAGAATCTCCTTAGATAGAAACTTAGATCTAGAGGAAAAAATAAATAGTGTTGGAAATAGTAAATCTGTGGGTAAATATAAGAATTATGTATTTTTTTTTACTTCTGTTAGTATCTTTAAAATACATATGACTGCTTAAAACAGTAATTATAATACTGTATTTTATGATGTTTAACACATATAGATGGGATGTAGATTAAAATAATAGCCCAAAAGATAGAAGGCAAACAGAACGTTATTGTTGCAAGGTTTTTAGGTTTAACACAAAATAGTCAAAATTAATTCTAAATAGATGTAACAAGCTAAGTATGTATATTGTAATCCTTAGAGCAACCTCTAAAAAATGCAAAGAAACCATAAATTAAAAAGTCAACAAAATAAAAGGAAACCAAGAAATATTTGCTTAACCCAAAAGATAGCAGGAAAGAAGGAACAGATATTAAAACATATGGGATAAATACAAAACTAATAGGAAATTGATAGACTTAAATCTAAATAAACGTATCAATAATTGTATTAAATTTTCACAGACTACACATACCAATTAAAAGACAGAGATTACCAAATTGGATAAAAGAACAAAACCCAATTATATGCTGTCTATAAGAGATGCTCTTTAAATATAAAGAAACCAAAAAGTAAAAGGATAAAAAATGATAGATCATGCAATCAGTTATATATGCATAAAAAACTGAAATGGGAATATAAATAGCTGAAAGGATAGACTTCAAGACAAGAAGTATTGTCAGAAATAAAGAAGAATGCTTCATAACTTAAAAGAACTGACTCATCAAGAGAACAAAACAATCTTAAATGTGTAAACAACTATTAACAAATTTTGAAAATATGGGAATCAAAAATAGACTGAACTAAATAGGGAAAATACAAATATCCATAGTCATAGTTGTAGTTTTTAATATTTTCTCATAGCAACTCATAGAATAACTAGACAAAAATTAAGAAGGGATATAGAAGATCTGAAAACCACCATTAACCACATTGATTTATCTTAGCCCATTTTGTGGTGGTGTAATAGAATACCACAGACTGGGTAATTTATAAAGAAAAGAAATTTATTTCTCAGTGATTTGGAGGCTGAGAAGTGTAATATAAAGCTGTTGGCCTCTGGTGAGGGTCTTTCTGCTTCATCATCCCATAGCAGAAAGTGAAAAGATCAGAGAGAAAGAAAGCAGGAGAGCAAGAGAGGGCCAAACTCACCCTCACAATAACAAATCCATACCCTCAATAGTGACATTAATCATTAGGATCATGCCCTCATGGCCTAATCACCTCTTAAAGATCCCACCTCGCAACACTATCACATTGGGGATTAAGTTTCCAACACATAAACTTTGGGGCACATGTTCAGTCCATAGCAGGACCCTCCCCTCCAAAAATATAGAGTATACACTATTTTCAAGTACACATAGAAAATTTATGGAGACAGACAACATGCCACGCCATCAAACAAGTTCAATAAATTTAACATTATTGACCTCTTAAGGGTATGCTTTTGATCTAATTGAGTTAAATTAAAAATCAGAAACAAAAAATAACTAGAAAATTTTAAGTATTCAGAAATTAGTACATTTCTGAATAACTCATGGGTCAAAGAAGAAATCACAAGTTTATAACTAAATGAAAATTTTAAAAGCACCGCAAAATGTGTATAATATACCTAATGCTGTGATTGGAGTAAAATTAATGCCTTTAAATGTCTATGTTAGAAAAAAGAAAGGTTTTGAATCCATTATCTAGATTTTTTTTCCCATATGAAACTAGAAAAAGATGAGCAAATGAAATTTAAAGACAGTGGAAAAAGCAAGTAATTAAGATGAGAGCAGGAATCAATTACAAAGACAATCACAACCGAAAAAATTATCGAAGACAAATTTGTTTCTGTGAAAAAATTTAAAATATTGTTAAATCCCTAATAAATGAAAAAACAGATAAAACATAAAAGAACATATTTATTATAAAACTTTTCTAAATTTGTAATTTATGTTTTAATTTTAGTATGTTAATATTCAAAAATTGTGTGCAAATCTGTGGCCAGTGTATGAGTCATCATTTTTGTGACTTATTTTGTATATGTCATCTTAGAAAATTCTTCCCCATCTTGAAATAAATATTTACCCATAATGTTCCTATTAGTTTTACGGTTGTATTTCCTTTTACATTTGACTCTAATACATCTAGAATTTATTCTGGTGAATAATGCAAGGTAAAGCTACAAATTGATTTTTTCATCATGTCAAAAATGTTTGGTAGTTTTAGATCTTAAATGTCCAACAACTATGAGAAAATATAAATTAAATGTTAGGAAAAAGGACACAAACCATGGCAGAAGCAGTAGACTGAAAATCTTTCAGGAAAGGCTTTTAACGTCTACTGGTTACTGATAAACAAGTGATTGGAGCTGGTGTTCTGGGTAATTTAAGACCTCTGTATTCCCCAAGGATCATACAAAACACAGAGCAACTTTAGTTGGAAATATCTTATATTTATAAAATATCTGGAAAAGGTTTTATTTCCAGGATTTTGGCTGATTTAGGTAAACATAGGGTTTATTAATTTAACATAATTTAGATTCCTAAGCTATCTCAACATTGCTGAAATGTTTTAATCACTTAAGACATAAGACTCAAAAAAATGCCCAAGTTGTTTGTGGTTTGGCTTAACATGACATACTAAAACGGCTTATTTTATTGAAATTTCTATCATACATGATTTTAGCAGCAGCAAATGGTATATGAATTACTAGAAAATAAACTTTTCTATCTCCCTATCATATGAGAATCATGCTCCAATAACCAAATGGATACTTTCCTGCACTCAGGAGTAAAACCACAGTACAAACTTAATCCCACTTGTGAGTGCTGTTTTAATAAGGGAGTAGTCCCTAATTTAGCCTACATAAATTCCTGTAAAGCTCATACCTACAGTATTATTTTTCTTTTTCTTTTATTTAGAGACATTGTCTTGCTCACTGCCCAGGCAGTAGTGTAATGGCACAACCATGCCTCTCTGTGGTCTCAACCTCCTGGGCTCAAGCAATCCTTCCAGCCTTCAACTAGATGGGATTACAGGTGCACACTATCACACCTGGCTAATTTTTAAAATTATTATTATTTTGTACAGATAATCTTGCTATGTTGCCCAAGCTGGTCTTGAACTCCTGGCCTTAAGAAATACTCCTGCCTTGGCCTTCCCAAATGCTTGGATTACAAGTGTGAGCCAGTGCACTGGCCCAGCAATTCTTTAGTGAAGAAAAAGAAAAGCAAGTGTGTCCTTTAGTGTAATAACAGGATACTTGACAATAAATATTTATGCTTCTACTGAACATTTCCACTTAGCTAATCAAGTTCTTTTAATATGCATATATCATATGACAGAGGAAAAAAATGTCCATGTTCTTATGATCATTAGTTTTTTATTTCCTCCCAGTTTTTCCTTTTGCTTTCCTCTTATTCAAGCAGAGCATTGGACTCAAGCAGGCTGATATGAAGCAGAAAATAGACAAGCCCTGATTTTTTTTACTCTGGTGTTTGGCTTCTAAAAGCCTTCACCTCAGAGAGGTCAGAGATGTTTTATTTTTAATTTTATTATTATTTTTAACTTTTATGGGTACATAGTAAGTGTATAAGAGTTGTATTATAGGCAGAATAATGGCTGCTCAAATACATTCAAGCCCTAATTACAGAAACCTGTGAATATGTCACCTTACACAAAAAAAGGGAGTTTCCAATGTGATTACATTAAACGTCTTGAGATGGGAGGTTATTCTGGATTATCTGTACAGGCCAAATATAATCACAAGGATCCTTTAAAGTGAAAGAGGGAGGCAGGAGGCTAAGAATCAGAGGGGATGTGAGGAGAGAAGTGAAACTGGAGTGATGTGATTTTTGGCTCAGGGACACAAGCCAAGGACAGCCTCTAGAAGCTGGGAAGGGATTAAAAAAAGAAAAAAAAAGCATTCTTCCCTAGGACTCCTAGTATGAACACAGCCCTGCCAACCTTTTGGCCCAATGAGACTCATCATGGACTTTCAACCTCCAGAACGATAAATAATAAATTTGAGTTGTTTTAAGCTACTAAGGTTTGGCACTTTGTTTTAGCAACAATGAAAAACACATGCTTAAACCCTACACCTATTATCAAACACAAAAAATAGAGTTCTCCTGGCTGTAGCAGGGAGTGGGTAAGCAAAGTTTTCTCTCCAATCTCTGCATTGGTTCTCTAAGAAACATGGCAAAAGCCTGGAAAAGTTTTGTCAGTATGGTACATCTAGACTTAAAGAACCATAGGCAGTTTTCCAGAAAGATTCTACAAGCATTGCAACAAGTAAGCAGAAACATATGAAATTAAAATGGCCAAGTTAACAACAACCAAAACAAGTATCTTGAGTTTTTAAACTGAAATTAAATAGGTATTTCTTGATTTTATACCATCAATATTTTCTTATCATATAGTGGATACACACAGAAAAATTACTGTAGACAATTCCTTACAGTATGATATGGCATAATTGGCAGAATGATTATACAGTATGATTGGCAGAATGATATGGTTTGAATCTGTGTCCCTGC